TTTCTGCTTGCCTTTTTTTTTTTTAACATCTTTATTGGAGTATAATTGCTTTACATTGTTATGTTAGCTGCTGTTGTATAATAAAGTGAATCAGCTATCCGTATACATACATCCCATATCCCCTCCCTCTTGCGTCTCCCTCCCACCCTCCCTACCCCACCCCTCTAGGTGGACTAAGTCCTAAGCAAGCGAGGCAATCATGCCCACAGTGGTGGTTATCTATGTACCATATTGACTGGTAGCTGATATGTGCACACTAGGGCCACACTTGTCCTGATTCCTTATGACCATGTTTGTTTGATTTCCCAAATGCAGATCTATTTTATTCCTCTGCTTAACTAAAAATCTGCATTTCTCCTCTTTTTATGCTTTTCTCCCAACCTTTAATTGAGGACTTATAGTTAAATTCTCAAGTGTTGTTGCTGTAGGAGAGGAGGAAAATTTTTGATTCGTTTTTGAAGAGAGTAAAGAACACCAGCATACTATAGGACACCTAGTTTTTTCAGTCCTCATGAAAGTGCAGGTTGTGAGTTTGAGGTTTAGTGTTATGAAGCCATGGTCTGTACAGAGAATAATGGCAATGGATGACAATCTTTTATAGTGAGGTTTCATCAGAAACCTTTTTAAGACCTCAGTGGCCAGCTGTAGCCTATCTTTGTGGCTTCATCTCCAGCCACATTGGACACCCACCCCCAGTCCCTGAATATGCACTGCTCAGTCCTTCCTTGTGCTTCCTACTCTTTCTAGGCTACACTGTCTTCCTTTCTCTACCTTTTCAAATATTCCTCATTTTTAAAGGCCCTCTTCATATTTTGTCACCAGTTTCCTTACAGTGTCTCTACCGCTAGGCAGACTTTGTTTCCTACCCTTTGTTTCCACTGCTTTGTTTGCACTAATAGGACGTGATTCGCAGCCTGATAACTTTCTACTGTATAACCTCTGCCTCTCCCAGTTGATTGAGAATCCTTTAATGTCTGGGCTTGTATGATATTTATCTTAGTATCCCTAGAACTTGGCAAGGTGGCTTGAATAGTAGGTACTCAATAACTATTGGATGGATTTGCATTTGTTTTAGGTACTTTGCAGCAACTCAGTTTGAACCCTTGGCAGCAAGATCTGCTTTTCCTTGTTTTGATGAACCAGCATTTAAAGCCACATTTATCATCAGGATCATAAGAGATGAGCAATACACTGCTTTATCAAATATGCCTAAGGTACTGTTCTATTCCTTGAATGTAAAATCTTTGAGTGGGTCTCTTTCTTTGTTTTGAATACTTGAATTCTTCTTTGCCATACTGTTGAGAATGATTAAAATCATATACATTCTTATTCTTTCTTAAAATGCTTAAATAAAAGTAAAATATGTATTGGAATCAATTGGGAAGTCAGTCTGAGAAGCACTTGAGGAAAGAGAAAGACTGGATGTGGAAGGTATGGGCAGGAAATGTGAAGTCTGTGCTATTGTACTAAAGTTCTGCAAATATTAATACTGTGAACGGCTACTAAAGAGCACAGTGATATTTTCAAAGACATGGTGAACTTGCTATTCTAGACAGTAATATTTGGTAGTGTTGAATCATGATTGACCTTGGTGTTTTACTGGTTACTGAGAAATCGAGATGGTAACATGGAGGTTGAACAACAAGAACATGGACATCTTTCTTGGCTGTGAGCCCTGCATGGAAGTAGTGGGGGTGAAATCAGGCAGAATTGTTTTTATGCCAAACAGAACTTAGGGGGGGGTTCCTTTGGTTACACCTGAGAGCTGTGTGCAGCCGATAGGAACCTCTCAGAAGCCATGTGACTGGGGGGGAGGAGCAGCCACATGTCACAGACTATGAGTCAGCCCTTGAGTCAAGGAGAGTACATGGTCTGTCCTTCAACAAGGATGTCACTTCAGCAGCTCTACTCCTAGCCGTACTCTTCACCTTAATCTTTCTCTAAGAGAGGTCAAATGCTTACTTGCCTAGTAACCCCAAACCTATTTTAAATTCATGGTTGGAAAATCCTGCAAGGTTGCCCGCCTCCCCTCATCTTGTGTCTACTGCAGACTTTTCTAGTGACTTACCACCTTTAATCCCACTAAGCCTTCTTGTGGTCATCAACACGGTCCTTTACAAAGCCATTTCAGATCATTTGGAGGGATTAACCAGCTGTAGCTCATTCTTGTGTGAATGTATTTGTAGCAGTAGAATGGAGTACTTCTAGGTCATAAGGAAGGATTTTTGGTTTTGATGGTGTTTTAAAGGGGAGAAACAGAGCCACTGCTACTTACTGTTTCTAACTTACATTTATTTAAAGCCATTGTTTGAGACTAGGAACTTCTTAAGGATTTTTACTGTACTCAGTATGTCCTCATGATGAAGGATGGTAGAACAGACTGAGACTGAGGGCCATGTTGTTTGGAAACTTGTGCTGAGAGATTAAAATATGCCAGCATCTTCACTACTTATTTCCTATCTGAATCTTCAGTTTCCCAGTTTATATGTCACTGTCATTTGTTCTCATAGTTACAGAACTGTCATTTTCCCCATTGCTTGTAGAAGTCATCAGTCATTGTGGAAGATGGACTTGTTCAGGATGAGTTTTCTGAGAGTGTGAAGATGAGCACTTACCTGGTTGCTTTCATTGTGGGGGAGTTGAAGAATCTGAGTCAGGACATAAATGGAACCCTGGTATGTATGTTGTTGTGGTGATTGTCTTGAAAACCTGTATTCACAGGAGGTTGAGAGGAATCCTTTCATGATATCTGGTAACTGCTTTATGAAGGAAAACAATCTTTTGGTTCACAACTCTGACATTTTATACCAGCAGTGTTACTTTTTACTTAGTTGTTATTTACTGTCATTATTTGAATACCAAAAAAATCAATAATTTTTAAGTTCCTTTAAATTTTACTTTTGTAAGAGAATTTCAGTAAGACAATATATGTATAAGAAAGCCTCTAGAACTGTGCTGTATAATATGAAAACACAGAAAGACAATTTAATTAAATCAAGAAACAGTACGTGAACAAAATGAGATGTTTAACGGAGACATAGAAATCATAAAAAAAAAAAAAAGAACCAAACAGAAATTCTGGGTCTGAAAAATACAGTGAATGAAATGAAAAATGCAGTACAGACCATCAGCAGCAGAATGGATCAAGCAAGAAAAAGAATTTGCAAGTTGGAAGGCAGGAAATTTTATATTATCTGGTCAGGGAAGAACAAAGGAAAAAAGGATGAAAAAGAAGTGAAGAAAGCCTACATGATTTGTGGGACACCACCAGAAGAAACAATTTGTGAATTATTGGAGTTTCAGAAGGAGAACATAGGGAACAGGGGGCAGAAAGCTTACTTTAAAAAATAATTGCTGAGAACTTAGCAAATCTGGGGAGAAATTTGGATATCCAAGTTCATGAAGCTCATAGGTTACCAAACACACTCAGCTTAAAGAGGTCTTCTCCAAGACACGTTATAATAAAATGGTCAGAAGTCAAAGAGAATCTTAAAAGCAGCAAAAGAAAAGAAGCTTATAACTTATAAGGGAACTACCATAAATCTATCAGTGGATTTCTGAGAAGAAGCCTTAGAACATAAGAGAGAAGCAAATGATATATTCAGAGTGCTGAAAGGAGAAAACTGCCAACCAAAAATACTCTATCCAGCAAAGTTATCCTTCAGAAATGAAGGAGTGAGAAAGACTTTTCCATACAAGAAAAAAAAGCTGAGAGAGCCCCTTACCCCTAGACCTGCCTTACAAGAATTGCTGAAAGGAGTGCTTCCAGCTGAATTGAAAGGACACTAGCTAGTAACATGAAAACATGAAAATGTACAACACACTGGAAAAGGTATTTATAAAATAAAATTCAGAATGTTCTAATAGTATAATGTAGTGGTATATGCATTCTATGGGATGTATCAAAAGCAGTTCTAGGAGGGAACTTTAGAGTGATAAATGCCTACATTAAGAAAAAAGAAAGATCTCAAATAAACAACCTAACTTTACACCTCAAGGAACTAGAAGAAGATTAACAAACTGAGTCCAAAGTTAGCAGAAGGAAGGAAATAAGCAAAGATCAGAGCAGATAAATGAAATAGATACCAGAAAGAGAGTAGAAAAGATCAACAAAAGGAAGAGCTGGATTTTTAGAAAGGTAAATGAAATTGACAAAACTTTAGCTAGACTAACTAGTAAAAAAAGAAGACTCAAAATCAGAAATGAAAGGAGACATTACAGCCGATACCACAGAAGTACAAAGGATCATAAGAGCCTACTGTGAATAACTATAGGCCAAGAAATTGGATAACCTAGAAGAAATGTATAAACTCCTAGGAACATACAATCTACCAAGACTAAATCATGAAGACATAAAAAAATCTGAACAGATCAGTAATATAAAGAGAGATTGAATTAATAATCAAAAACATCCCAACAAAGAAAAGCCCAGGATCAGATCAGTTTCTCTGGTGAATTCTACCAAGCGTTAAAAACAAACAAAAAAAATCTATAGATTCAATGCAACAGAATTCCAATGGCATTTTTCACAGAAATAGAAAAAAATAATCCTAAAATTTGTATGGAACCGCAGAGACTTCGAATAGCTAGAGCAATCTTGAGAAAAAAGAACAAAGTTGGAGGTATCACACTTCCTTGATTTCAAACTATACTACAGAGATAAAGTAATCAAAATCATATGCATAGTAATCAAAGAGTGTGGTACTGGCATAAAAGTAGACACAGAGCAATAGAAAAGAATCAAGACCCCCAAAATAAACTCCTGCAAAAATGGTCAACTAATACATGACGAGGGAGCCAAGAATACTCAGTGGGGAAAGGGTAGTCTCTTCAATAAATGGTGCTGGGAAAACTGGATCATCACATGCAGAAGAGTGAAATTGGACCCTTATCTTTCACCACTCACAAAAATTAACTGGAAATGGATTAAAGACTTAAATGTAGGATCTGAAAGTATAAAACTCCTAGAAGAAAACAGAGAAAAAGCTCTTTGACATGGGTCTTGGCAACAATTTTTTGTATATGACACCAAAGCACATGCAACAAAAGCCAAAATCAACAAGTAGGAGAACCTCAAACTAAAAATTTCTGCACTGCAAAAGAAACAGTCAACAAAATTAAAAGGTAACCTGTGGAATGGAAGAACATATCAAATATCTGATAAGAGATTAATATTCAAAATATATAAGGAACTCATACAACTCAGTGGCAAAAACCCAAACAATCTGGTTAAAAAACGGCAGAGGAACTGAATAGACATTTTTCCAAAGAAGACATGCAGATGACCAACAGATAGATCAAAAGGTGCTCAGTATCACTAATCAGAAGGAAAATGCAAATCAAAACCTCCGTGAGATACCACCTCACACCTGTTAGAATGACTGCCATCAAAAAGACAGATAACAAGTAACAAGTGTTGTTGAGAATGTGGAGAAAAGGGAACCTTTGTGCGCTATTAGTGGGAATGTAAATTGGTGTAGCCACTGTGGAAAACAATATGAGGGTTCCTCAAAAAATTAAAACTAGTACCATCATATGATCCAGCAATCCCACTTCTGGGTATATATCCACAGGATATATATCAAAACAGGATCTTAAAGAGGTCTGCACTTCCATGTTTGTTGCAGCATTACTAACAATAATAATATTATTATTCATAATAATAACAACCTAAGTGCGGATGAATGGATAAAGAAGATGTCGTGTGTGTATGTGTACACACACACACACACACACACACACACACACACACACACACATATACAATGGAGTGTTATTCAGCCATGAGAAAGAAAGGAAATCTTGCCATTTGGAACAACATATATGGACCTTGAGGGCATTATGCTAAGTGAAATAAGTCAGACAGACAAAGACAAAGACTATATGACCTCACTTATGTGTGGAATCTAAAACTGAACTCATGGAAACAGTGGACTCGTGGTTGCCAGGGCCTGAGGGGTGGGGGAGATGGGGAGATGTTGGTCAAAGGGTCCAAACTTCCAGTTATAAGTAAGTTCTGGGGAGCTAATGTACAGCATGGTGATTATAGTTAACACTGTATTATACATTTGAAAGTTGCAAAGAGAGTTGCTTAAATGTTCTCACCATGCAAAAGAAATGGTAGTTATGTGAAGTGATGGAAGTGTTAACTCGTGCTACTGTGGTAATCATTTCACAATATATAAGTGTATCTAATGAACATGTTGTATACCTTAAACTTACATAATATTATATGTTAATTATATCATTAAAGCTGCAAAAATTAATTAAATTTAAAATTCACTTCCTTAGTCTCAGTAGCCACATTTCTAGCATTCTTGTGGCTAGTGGCTACCTTACTGGATATCAAAGATATTGAATATTTCCATCAATGCAGAAAATTTTATTGGGCAGCAGCAAATCTAGAACATTGTGCAGCCTTAAAAGATAGCATAAAAATTTAGTTAGAAGAAAAACTCCAAGTTGTAAAAGTCATTTGAATGCACCTTTTGAAAAAGCAAGTCCTGATTGAATTTTCTGCATCTTAGAGAGAGAAGATTGTTTAAATGTCTGGTATGTCTGTAATTTGTCAAGATTGACCCTTTGTTCTAATTAGGCTCCTCTGCTTTTCTTCGTCATTTGAATCTGTCTGTAAATGATTGTTTGATTGGATTTTATGCCTTAGTTTCACTGTAAAGACCTTAAAAAGCTAGTATCTTCACATACTAACAACATAGGAGGAAAGAGTCTTTTAAAGCTAAAAATGATTATTTTTCATGATAGAAATATGATGGAATTCTTTAATTTTTTTTCATATTTTTGATCCCCACCAGGGTATGTTTTCGACCCTTTGAACACATTCACTTGGATTTGGGCTTCCTTTCCAGACCAAAGAACTTTATTTTAATCACAGTGTATTTGGATCTTATTATTTGCTAATTAAGAGGGGCATACTCCTTCTGTTAGAAAAGATTATCATGTCTACTCCATTAACTCTTAGAGAGAAGGGGTGAGGTAAGGATTATCTGGCTCTTCATCAGCAATAACACTGCCAAATGACTTTACGCTCAAAGGATGGAGACCTGTTCGTGTTCAAGGGTAACGTGGACTACGTTGAGTAAGTGCTCAATATCATTTACTCACCTTTGGGTTTAAAAGAGTTTTTGGCAAGTCTAAACCAAAGAGTTTTTCGGAATCCTTTCGAAAGGATATTAAGACTGGTTTAATTCTGAAAAAAATTCAGTTAATCTCTCTTCAAGTTTTGCACCCCAAATTTAGCCCTTGATGCAGATGTTGCAGCCTTGATAAAACCTAAAAGGTTCGATCTTAAGTCAAGTTGCTTCTTCAGGAGCCAGCTGAGTACCACCCTCTCCTTGAAACTTTTCGTTCTTTCCCCAGCTGGGATTAATCATTCCCTCTCTGATATTTCATAGCACTTTAGTTACATCTCTGTTGTAGTTCTTATCACACTCTTTGATATAAAATCCCCAGCACTTTTTATTGTATCTCAAAATGTATGTAGTCTTGGCTTTTTATTTTCCCTCTCTCTCTTTCTCTCCCCCTCCCTCCCTCTCTCTTTCTTTCTCCCTCTGTCCCTCCCTCCATCCCTCTCTCATTCTTTCTTTCAACAGCTATGCTGGCTTCTTACTGCCTGTAGGATTACATTCAAACTCATCCTTCTGTGATATTCAAGGCCCTCATAAATTCAGTTATATTTCCAATTGCTCCAATGGAATTCTTTCACCTAGTCAGGCTGAATTATTCACTGCTCAGATATATACCTCATATAATATATATATATATATATATTATATATATATATTTTTTATATATATTATATATATGATATATATATATATATATATATATATATATATATATATCATATATATAACATATATATAAAACATATATGTATAACATATATGTATAACATATATATATAACATATATATATATTTTGTCCACAACAGTTGACCCTTGAAGAACACGAGTTTGAACTGCACAAGTCCACTTATTGCAGATTTTTTTCAATAGTAAATACTGCAGTACTACACGATCCATAGTTTGAATCCTTAGATGCAGAAGACTGACTATAAGTTATACTCAGATTTTCAACTGCTCCGAGGGTTGTTGCCGCTAACCCTGTCATTATTCAAGGGTCAACTGGAAAGAGAGAGAGATTGAAAGAGAGAGGAGTTTCAAATGACTTTTTTTGCTTTTTATTTACATGTATTAGGAAGCAACATGGTTAAACATGGACTCTGGCATCTACCTCGGTTCAGATCTCTCCTATACAGCTTTCTACCTGTGTGCCCTTGGGCAGACTGCTCTGTAGTTCTCTAAACCTCACCTTCCACAACTCTAATACTATATTGTCTATATTAGCCTGCTCTCTCAAGGATTAAATTTTTTAAATTCCTGTAAAATCTTCGGTACCTGGCAGATAGTAATACACACACAGAGAAACTCCCTTGTATGTATGTAAACTCCCTTGTATATATAAATATAAATAACCTTTATCATTTTTAATGCTACCCAGTAGTAAATGTGTTTTGAAAAAATTACAAATAAACAACTGTTTTATTAACTTTCTCTTTTTATTAGGAAATGGGGAAGACTCTAGCATGTGTGGAGTTATACTCTGTGCAGGCAGCTGTCTTGAGCTCTCATTTATAAACATCTTTTTATTTTATAAACCAAATGAGGGGAAGGCATTAGCCTCATATTGCTGATGAAGAAACAGTGTACCAGAGAGGTTAAGTAATTGACCTAGATTACATAGCCAGTAAATGATAGTCAGAATTCACTGTCTACCACAATATACTGCTTCTTATAACAAGTGATGTAATTTTTGTAGGTATGGTGATCAGAAATTCAGACTTAGAGTCTAATAAAGGATTTTTGTTCCACTAAAATGTTGTAATCTCTAGGATATGTTCTATTTTGTAATATTTGACATTAGGCCTATTTCACAAGATTCAGGAGTAAGGCAGTAGGGCTTTACTTATTAATGTCAGTCATAGTAAACAACTGAAAATGTCAAAGTTGACTGGATTATTAAACGTGGCCTGTTCAGTGATAAAGATTACTATGTTGTCAAAGACCTAAAGAAAGAGAGAACATTTATCATTTCTGTCCATTATTCAGTGTTCCTTAAACCTCTCTCTGCCTTCAGGTATGCCAGAACTACCTAGAAAATTCTAGGCTAGTTTTGAAATACACTTTATCAGTAGGAATGCCAGAATTACCTAGAAAATTCTAGGCTAGTTTTGAAATACACTTTATCAGTTTGTCTTGAGGTTTTTATTTTGTTGTTGCCATTACCTGATTTCGTTTTTACCATAGACAGGTCTAATTTGTAGAATCAGAATCCATTGGTGGTTAGTCAGATGTGGACATCATGGCTGTTTAACATCCAAACAGAACCTTCAACACTATTATCCATGTGAAGTTATAATTTTAATTTATTCTTATTTAGTCAGGAACATGACTTAGCTCCACAGACAACATTTCCTCAGGTATCCTTCCACCAACTAGGGACATTATACGTAATTTATATCATTCTCCTAAAGTCTCAGGTCCCATGTAATCAGTTATTCTGGATAGACTTCATTCTGGTGAGGTTTCTTTGTTTTTTTTGGTTTTTTTTTTAAGGAATTTATGCTTTTTGTATGTTCAGCTGTCTGTGTAGGAAAGCTGGTGTTTTTCAGGAAACTTAGTATTGGAAGATTCCAATATTTTCTATCTTCATAAATCTTGCAGGCTGTATTGTTGTTCTTTTGGGGGGATGAGGTTTGGTTCTGGTTTTGCTTTTATCTAGTTTTTGCTTCTTATTAAACTAAGGAGCAGAGTAAGTTAAACCTAACAAATCTGCTGTTCCTCAGTCTTAACTTTTTTCTCTGAGAGCTGACTAGGAGACTTTTTTGTGTCTTTTATAAATCTCCCAGTCTTAGCAAGAGATGTTGTAGGAAAAGTTTTAAGTTGTAAGCCTTAAGGCCTGAGCACCAGTTGACTTGGATTTAACAGTGTTTAGAGTGCTCTTACCAAGTGCAGGGTGCTGGTCAAAACTTCTTTGTTGAACTAGATTGCTTTCTTTGTTTATTTCTTACTGCTTCTGTTGCTCTTAAAACAAGCATGATAATAATTGTAATGACCTGACAATTCATCTCTAGTGAGAATTCACAGCACATTTTTTAAAGGAAGAGAAGTAGAAGGAAAGAGAAAATGCCAAACTACCTTTCTTCCTAGTCATTGTATTCCAGAAATGGGACTCAGTGGATCCTTTGGTCAGATTTCAGTTCCATGTGAACTTCTTTTTTCTCCCTTTACTTTTCATCTAATGAAAGATGCTTTCGCACATAGTGATGGGAGTGGCCAAATGGTGTGTTTGGGAGAAGGATGTTTGAGGAGGAACCTGGAGTATATGGGTGGTGTTCCTATTAGGACAGCATCTTCTAGATGGTTACATTGACTGGAACATAAAATATGTATGTGTGGAAAGAGCAGGCAGAAATAATAAAGACTGGTCTCAAATTCCAAGTGATCTTGGTACAGTCATTTATAATGGTAGTTAGATTTAAGAAGAATATGTCAGACTTTGTTGTGTGTGCTTGTGTGCTAACACTTTCACAGGGGGAATGATGCAGGAAATGTGCATGGTCCTTTGGCAGGTGGTGACTGAATTCAATAAGCTGTGGTCACAGTCCTGTACCAAGGGCTGCAGATGTTCGAGTGCTAGGCTGGTGAAGTACACTTGGCCACATGATGTGATATTAAATTTCTTCCACAGTTACTTTAGAAAGTACCATATTTTAAATGGGCTAACTGAACTCCTAACACTTCATTCTTCCTGTCACTGTTGCCACAAATGCTCTGCTCATACATGTTTTACCCCATTTCTGATGGGATTCTATTTGTAGTAATGATAATAACTACTGTTTATTGAACACTTCTTTTGTGTCAGGCACTATTTTAAGTTCTATACATAATAGTTCATTTAATCCTGACAGCAACCCTGTGAGGATAGGAGCTACTTTTATCACCATTTCATAGATAAGGAGATTGAGGCTAACTAAGTTCACACAGCTAGCAGAGATTTGAACCTGGCAGTCTAACTACAGAGCCTGTGCATTTAATTTTGTTGTTTGTTTACTTAAAATTTTTTCTTTATATTTAATTTTTAATGCCATGTTACCTCCATGTTTTTGTGATTAATGCATATGTTCTATAGACTAAGGCCCCACATAAAAACAAAGCTGAAATTGTGACCTCTGAGAAATTGTTGACTGTTTTCCAGTGCTTTAATGAAAAACCAAAAATAATTTGGGGTTAGAGTTCACCAATGTATTTTTTCAAATGATGAATTATTCAATAGGTCTCTGTTTCCCACCTGTTGGGATCTTTATTTTGAGGTTTTTATCTTCTGCTGTGTCTTGTCCATATCCTACTTTCCCAAGTTGAGTACAGAGGGATTTTTTTCTTTCAGTCCATTGAAAAACAATAAATATTGCTTTTTAAAACCTGTTGCTTTTAATGTAATTGCTTAAATTTTGCCTTTGATACTTACTGATAAGACATGTATAGTTAGTTACATCATGTGTGTTTAACTTATGCACTTAATCAGAAAAAGAGAGAAAGAATAACAATTTAAGTAATGTGGGCAACTGCATCTTCCCTGGAGCATGCGCCCTGAAGTGAGTGGGCAGTGTGGGCATAAATCCCAGTATCTGCTTAGTTGGTTTTAGTTACCGTGTGCCACTCACTGAGTGTTTCACTCTGCTGGGTATGGTTATTTTTGATACAACATGGTCCTTAAAAACAAGCCAACAACTGCAAAAAAAAAAAAAAAAAAAAAAAAGGAAGCAGTTCCAAGGCTTCCAAGAAAAACTGGCTGTGCCATACTTACTGCAAGAGAATGTGTTGGTCTCTAATAGGTTTTCCCAGGGTAATTTCAACATTTCTGTCTTAGGTGTTTATGTTAGAACTAACTCCCTTGTAAGCTGTGACTTCTCTGTATTGAATGCCTGCTCAATGCCAGGCACTGTGATAGGTGCTAAAAAGATGAAAACTTAGTTTTGGCTTTCAAATAATTTACAGTTTGATAGCTCATAGACAAGGAAGGGCCATTGTAGGTAATGGAGAGGCAGAGAAGAGTATCATAAAATTGAACAGGCAGATGCTTATGAATTGCTATATGATACAAAATAGTTTATTTTGGGTATCATGTTAACTTAAAACTTACTGATTGCTTTTATTTTTTTTTTTAACATTGTTGTATGTATGGAAATGACTTGCTAAATCCTATAGGGGTTAAAAGAACTATAAGTGAGAGTTGCTGTCCTGAAAAATCTCGTATACCTCTATGTAGTTCTCAGGTATGCTAATCTTGACAGTGTTCACCTGAATATCATGCCATTTTAATTGTACCTGTCTTTACATCATACCTGTTACCTTTTAGGTTTCTATATATGCTGTCCCAGAAAAGATTGGTCAAGTTCACCATGCCTTGGAAACAACTGTGAAGCTTCTTGAGTTTTATCAAAACTACTTTGAAATGCAATACCCACTAAAGAAACTGGGTAAGAATTAAACAGTGCCTCTGATTTTCATTATCATTATAACCTAGGTTTATGTTGCAAATGTTTTTTGCGGAAGAACTTTTGCCGAAGTTATTTTAAAGGAAAACCAAGAAACGCTGTTAATTGTTTGCCTTCAAAATTGTATTTGTTAAGATTATTTAGATTCCATGGATGTATCTGAAAGTGGAGCTTAAAACACTTAGAAATTTATGGGACTATTTCAGAGGTGCTGTGTAAGTGGGGATTTGCTTAGGGCTTAGTCTGGAGTTGGAGTAATTCTAACTTCCTAAGAAATTCCTAATTCAAATGATAATAGGAGTAATGAGAGCTCAGGAAAGCAAGAGCATTTCAGTGCTGTTCAACGTGGAGCTGGTTTTAGCTAGAAGAACGTTGGCCCTGCATCTTGTCCTCCTTGCTCTGGGAACGTCTTCACTGTGAAGGAATTAGGTATCTTCTCTTGCTCAGGGACAGAGCAACAGTGACTCTACGGGGGGGTTGGTCAGGTCTTCCTCAGCTGACAGGTAGGTGAGGAGCATACAGGGCTAGGAAGGTTCCTTTCCTTAGGAGTATAAATGAATTCACTGCCTTCTGATTCAGTGATAGACCAATGGGTAGAATATTTTGGTTTAATTAGGGAGTGCCTTAGATGGGGTGAAGTTGATCACTTCTTTCTTGTTATGTCCAGATTTGGTGGCTATTCCTGACTTCGAAGCAGGAGCAATGGAAAATTGGGGTTTGCTCACCTTCCGAGAAGAGACACTTCTGTATGATAATAATACTTCTTCAGTGGTGGATAAAAAACTGGTTACTAAAATCATCGCTCATGAGCTGGCCCATCAGGTATCAGCAACCAAGGCTGTTGTATCTCACACCTGTGGTCTGTTTCATATCCTAGATTTTTAGAATACATTTAGATGCTAATAATAATTCAGCTTTTTATTATAGTATTGTCTTCTTTCATAATAATATGATGCTTTTTAAACAAACTTAATTTTCAGATTAAAATGCTATTTAATGTTTTGTATAGGGTTTTACAGTTTATAAAGCATTTTCACATCCATTATCTCTCTTACTTTTCATAACTTGGTGGGGAAGAAACCTTTTCCCTGAGTTGTACTCTTCTTACAACTCTTGGACTGTAGTTGTCAGGACTAGATTTATTGTTTTGTCTCCTGCTAAAACTGGGTTCTTAGTTAATTTGGGAGAGGGAAGGTACTCTGTATGACATAGAGAAAAAGAAAGAAAATTATGAGTACATGAACCTCCCTCTTTCTTCCCCAACACCTTGTCTCTCTTATGCCCTCGATGAGGTGTTTATCAGGGTAGGGTGTGGTATGGGGGTGTTGTGATGGTGGGAGCATGTGGAGGAAGAGTGGGACATGCTCTGGCAGTTGACAGCCTGCCTCAGACACAGTCTGTAGCCCCCGCTACAGCCCTCATGAGGGCTTCATGACATGCTGGCATATGAAGCGTATGCTTATTTACTGTTACAGTTTTAGGCATGTAGACAAGTTGTTTTTGGGGGGAATCTGCTCTAGGTCTGTTATTTCTGGGTCCGGCCATCACCCCTGGGGGAGTGTTTCTCATTTCCTTCTTCTTTAGGACTTACAAGTCAGCTTCCTCTGAAACAGGTTTTAAGATAATATCTTTGAAAAATACGATTTCGTAATTCTCAAAGGTGTTTTGTTTCAGTACCTAGTAACCCTGTCATTTTGCTGATGGTTCGAGACAAGCCCTTGGCCACACTGACTAAATTGCACACCCTTTATTTCACTCTTTATTTACCACTCTTTATTTCAGGGATTTTGAGATGCATGTTTTTTAAGGGAGTCTCGTATCATTTTTTTCCTTCTTCTTACCACCTCATGGAAAAAGCCGTTTAAAGTTCTTTCTGATTTCATTTATTTGTATGCATGCCAAATTTCTTACGGAATGTTATTTGAATTCTGTTTTGAATCATGTAAATACTGCCCTCAACTTGGGTGACTGAGGAGAAACCTGCAGTCCAGGCTCTCTGACTATAGGAACATCCCTCACATAGAAATTTAATTTTTAGTTGTCATGATGATTGTAAATACAATGGAAAATAATATTACTAACTTGACATTAGAAAGTAGAATTTCATTATCTAGGAAATCTTACTTTTAATGAGGTGACTCGTTTTTGTTTACCTAGTATATAATGTGTGTTAAATTGATAAATATGCTAATTGTCTTTCTTGCCTGTTTCATTTAAGGTAAAATGTTAAATTTTTTATTTTACTTTTAAAGTGAATTTATACAATTTATGCAATTTTACTTTTAAAGTAAATTTATATTGCAAATATAATTTATTTGCAAGTCTTTAATTTGAATATAGTTTGTGTTAACTGTAATAAGTATATTTTTCAGTAATTGTAATCTGGTTATAGGTGATTAATCTGACAATTCAATTATTAGAAAATTCTTGAGAGTGTAAAGTTGGTTAGTAGTTTGTTTTTTCCCACAGTGGTTTGGTAATCTGGTAACAATGCAGTGGTGGAACGATGTATGGCTAAATGAAGGTTTTGCTACTTTCATGGAGTATTTCTCTTTGGAAAAAATATTTGGAGAGCTCTCCAGTGTAAGTACACTATTTGTTAGGCCTACTATGAATGCCAGGGGGAAAAATAGCCAAATCATATTCAACATGTATTTTCCATTCATTTGGAGTAATGAAAATGTTTCTAGAAAGATACGATAAAATTGACCCTTGTTATTGATCTCTGTACCTCTTGAGATTTGACAGTGAAAATTGTGCTTTTATTTACTGATGTATTTCAGAAAGCTGAAATTTTGTGGAATTATTTTACACTTCGTCATTAGGATGAACATTTTAAATTGCTTTGCTACATTTTATTTTAATAGATGTGGCCCTTCTGCTTGAAAGAACTCAGATAGAGTTGAAAAGCCTTTTTTTGCAAAACAAAACTTTTTATCCTATGTATAAAGAGAAAAAAATTAAGACATTTTGTAGCAATGCTGTCTCTCTGTTATCACTGTGATCATTCTTACAACAGTGATACATAAGCTGACACAGACAAATAATTTGCTCTTTTTAGGTACAAACCATATTTTGTGCCCTTTTCAAAGACGTGGACCACCATTCTGTTACAGGGAGCATGATAATATTGTTACTATGTTCTTAGACGCTCTGGAGATGTTTCTTATCATTAGGGATATTTGGACACACTAGGTCATATATGACAGATATTGCCAAATAATTCAAGCAGTAGGTGGAAGAGTATAAAGATCCCTTTCAACTCTAAAGTTCTGTGACTTTCTATTAAACTTCCTGAATATATGATCCAAGATTGCTTCAAAAAAGGAATACTCTCTGTAATGGCCTATGTGGGAAAAAAATTTAAAAAAAAAAAAAAAAAAAAGAGTGGAGATAGGTGTATGTGTAACTGATTCACTTTACTATACACCTGAAACTAATACAGCATTGTAAATCAACTATACTCCAATAAAAATCCCCCCCCCAAAAAAAGAGTACTGTTAGAGCTTTCAATTTGAAATTTTTATGTAGGGCCTGTTCAAAAATTTCAGGTGGTAAAATAAACTCATTTTAAGCTAGAATATTAATAAGCAAGGTATTCTAAATCTGTGTATGCTACTTAATTAAGTAAGCAAAGAGATATACAGTTTCACCACTTGGTGGTGCCCAGAATGTTAAAAAACTTCTAATATACATTCTAGAGAAGCTCATCTACTGAGCTCTCAGACTTCTTGCTGTCTAAGAGTTATATTTTACTTCGAATGAACCTTAGTTAAGGGAAATGTATATTATCTTAACAGAAAAGCTGGATTATGTATGAGAAATCAGCTTAAGGAACAGTTCCTATTTTTTTTATTTCAGATTTTATTTTACAAATATACACTAGCCATTTTTAAATATTCATTTTGAATATCTGGATTTAGCATTTGGTTGCTTTAGTAATAAATTCTCAGCTTATACTGTTGTTTAGGAAACACTGTTTTCCATGGGGCCAGGAGGTTATAATTCTACTTTCAAATTTAAGGAATATGCATAAATGTCACATTCTTGCTACATTTTCAAAAGCTTATTTCTGACGTTTAGTGAAGCTAGTTAATTTTTTATAATGACCTTAAACAGTAATTAGTCTAATTCATATAAATAATTACTATACTTGCCTCTGTCCTTAATACTGTTCATGGTTTCTTAATCTGTTTCATTTTTTGCTAGTATGAAGATTTCTTAGATGCTCGATTTAAAACCCTGAAGAAAGATTCCTTGAGTTCATCTCATCCAATATCATCATTATCTGTTCAGTCTTCAGAACAGATTGAAGAAATGTTTGATTCTCTTTCCTATTTTAAGGTATTGCTATACACAAAAAGTACCTGGAGTAGGTTACAAATTAATTTCATATGTGAGCAAGCTGCTTGATTTAGATTATTTTAAAGATTAAATAGGTGTTATTTTCAGGTATCCTGTTAAACTTTAAGATGTTTGCTTCTATTTAAATCTTGGTCTTAACTTTATATGGGTTTTTCTTTCTTTCTCTGTCTCTTGTTTTAAGTTCTCTAACTAGTATTCTGGGTAGTTAACCAGATCTTATAGTAATGTATTTTTTGAAGTTGGATCACTGTCCAGATTTGCAGGTAGAACATGTCCAGGGAAGGGAAGGTTCTAAGCCCTTGGCTGTGTTATTCAGGATTGAGGTGTGTTCCAAAGTCAGAATTGCCAAAACAAGTAAGCAAAAGGAGATTTTTAAGAATTGAAGATTTTGTTGTAGAATTAGAAACATAGACTCCAGGCTTGGGGGTAAAGCAAAAACAGAAACAGAGAAACCTGATTAGGATCATCGTAAGAGAACAGGATAGTGATATCAGTGCCACTCACATTTGTGTAGGGAGGGAGGGCTGAATGTTGTAGCTTGTTGACCTCCTTAGTCTGGCTTTCAGATTAAGCTCAATAAATTGAATTCTTGTCCTGGACAGAGAGGAAGATATACAGAACATATGACTTCATGTCATCAAGAAACTCAAAGTTTAGGTGGTAAGTACTTGTGAAGTAGTAAGAGATAGTACGTGCTAACTGAATGGCACAGAGTATTTTTGCCTGGGATTATGGAGAGAAAATGTTTGGAGGAAAATGGAAATTGAGATGAATTAAATAATAGGAAGAATATAGGTAAAGAGGAATGGGAACAATAGAATAGGGCAAGAGTGGGATGTTGAGGTCTGCAAAGAAAAAGTCAGGAATACCAATGGGCAGGGAAATTTTGTTTAGGTAGCAAATGTTTGCAGTGGAAGCCACATGTAGAGTAGGGGAAAGATGAGAAAGGTAGGTTGGGGCTCAGTTGTAGACGATCCTGAATGCCATCAGGGATCTGGACTTTTTCTGTAATTAGTGGGAAGCTTTAAAAGCTTTTTCAATAGAGGAATGGCTTGATCAAATAAAGACTGTTTAGGAAAATTAATTTGTTTCAGTTTATAAAGTAGATTTAAGTGGAGAGAGACCTAAAATCAGGAAATTGCTGCTGAAGTACAAGCATGAAATGGTAGAAGTTTAAAAATAGAAGTGGTAGTGAGAGTAGAAGGGAAATGATGGGTGTGAAAAAACCCTGAGTGTAGGGA